GATGTAGTTTTTTATTTGTATTATGTTAGCAAATCGCTTAGTTCTTGAAATATACAGTTTTCATTGCGGTGGTCGAGAAAATGTAGAAAATTGCTTGTAGACTCAATGAATGAAAAACTTGCATATGGTCTGTTGGATCAAGAACATGTGTGTACTTTGCTCATATAGTGTTATAATAGTGAATAAGGTTAATAGACTGTGATATAAAATGCTAAATATACGAATTTTTACCAAAAAAGTTTCGGAGTTATGATAGTGTATCCATCATTTGAAAAAAAGCTTTGTTATATATACTGTTGCAAAAGTAAATGCATAAATTTCACTAATACCAACTGCGTGTTTTGAAAATAATATTAAATTAACATGATTTTTTTAAAATATATTTACACTTGCTTCTGTACAATATTGAAAAAATTGTTAAATTTTTGCTGTGTGTCATAAGTAAATAGTCAAAAAACTTGTTACATTGGTTTCTTAGCTAGTAAATTGCAAATAACTCAAAATTTTCCATGAGACCCTATAAATTTTATTATTTTCGATTGTAATAGATACTTCAAGGAATAACTCGTGCAAATTTTAGGGTTGTAATATAAACAGTTCGACCTAGACATAAATTCAAAAATCATCTACTAATAAACAGTTGATTCTATACCAAATGTCTAGAATGCTTTTGAAAGTATTTTTCTTACTAAATTGCAAATGTCTCAAAATTTTGAAAAGGACTCTAAATATTATTAATTGCAATTATAATAGATACTTCAAAGAATATCTCGTACAAATTTCAAGGTTGTAATGCAAACGGTGCGGCCAGAAATTAATTTCAAATATATTAATATAAAGCTGTTTCGACAATCTCGAAACTTCACGTATTTTCCGTACTAAATTGCAAATATCTCAAAATTTTTCAAGAAACCCTATAAATTTTAATATTTGCAACTGCAGTAGACACTTCAAAAAATATTTCGTACAAATTTCAAGATTGTAATGCAAACCGTGCGATCTGGACATAATTTTAAAAAACATTTACTAATGTACAATTCTAAATGTTGCACCACACCAAATTCAGATTTAAACATAAAATTTATTAAAAATCATATCTAGTTACACAAAGTGCACAATTTTTATTATTTGATTGGTTTCTGCCAAAATCTATTGCAGTTGCTGAAATGGGGATTAAATTTTATCAATGCTCATTTAAAACAAACAATATTTTTTTTAATTGGAACTCTACACGAGGGATAAGCGAATTCGAATTTAAAACAAACTGATTTTTTGTTTTTTGACAGAAAATCCTTCAATTGAAAAACTGTTCTGCTTTTGCAACACATAGTTGAATTAATATATATATATATATATATATATATATATATATCTAATTACAAGTCGAATTTCGCCTAAACTTCCAAGTTAGCCTTATTTCTAATTGAGATTTCGCCAACTACCTTAAAGTGTTATGTAAGCATAAATGCTAATCTTAAGTAGGAATTAGTGGCTACAAACACCAGATCGTTAATTTAAATTAATAAGTACTTTAGTTTCTAAGTTAAACTCTAATGATGCTCGAAATTATAGAAACACAGCTAAACTTTAATACAATTTAGTTTGGTGTAGTACTCGTATTTCTGAAACAAACTCAGGTGATAAGGGACAATATAAGGGACTTTAAGGGAAGAGTTGAATTTTGAATTTTTAAGGCATAGTTTTAGCCTTGTAAGCAATAAGTCGCCTTGGGTTAACTTTTTTTAAGTGGCATTTTTCCGTAAGGCAACTTGCACGATATGTGTAATAATTGACTTAATCAATCAAAATTGAGACTTAGCTATTTAGATAAAATTTTTAACTGTATATATCAAAAACAAAGTTTTTACTAGAAACTAAACATTGTAATTTCGAATCAATGTATTTTAAACACATTTATAAAATTTGTAATTCTAAAATTGCAATTTACTTTATTGAATTTATATAATTCAGCCAATTCGCTTAGTACTATTTAGTACTTGACTTTATCTTTAAAATTTTGACTTATCACACCACAAAAGCAACTTTTGACAAAAATTTTGACTATCACATTTTCTCAAACTTTGATGAATTTTTAAAATTAAACCACTTGATGTAGGGTTAAATTTTAGTATGGCTACTATAACTATGATCTCTATTATGATAAAAAATTTCATTAAAATCGTCCAATTATCGGTTGATCGGTGTTCCCGAAATCGTCGACTAAAATTTGTATCCGCACACACACACACACTTACACACACATTCTTCCATTTTTCTAAGGTATGCCAAAATATTCAGAAACCTTTGAAACGTAAAGATAGATAAAAATTTTCATTTTCGATTTTTTTGCTATTGCTATAACTTACCCTACGAGAAATTAATGAACCTTAATAAGAAAAAAATTCAGATTAATATTACTGTCGTAATAGTCTTACAACTAAGTCCAGAATATTAGCAAAAACTTGGCAAATCACTTACTTTTACACACTTTTAGATTATTTCTGTTTCACAAAATCGGACAGCTTTCCAATTGTAAACATTTGCTTAATAAATTAAATAATTTTATTTATCGGTACCATATGAAACACTAGGCTTCTCTCATAGGAGTGAACTCTAGATAATTATTTCTTTTTTTCTTTCTTCTATTATTATTATTATTATTTTTATAATTATTTTATTTTTCCCCCTCGTTTGTGTTACAATAGCTTATAAGATTAAATTGTATCTTGATTGCTAATTCAATAAATAAATAAATAAATAATTTCACAAATCTTAAAAAAATTATCGGTATTATATGATGTAATTTATAATTATCCGACAAAATATAGCTGGGATACAAGAACAACTTAGACATTGGTAAGAGTTAAAAGTTGTTAGGCAGTGGTACGACTTAGGCAGTACTACGACTAAGGTAGTAGTACGATTTGACCAACTTTACCCTATATTTCTCGTCTTGCCAAGAGGTATAAAGTTAACTATAAACAAGACAGATAAGTGATCCTACACCATGGACTGACATTCGAGCATTAATAATTAATTTGATTTGTGCATCTGAAGTATTTATGAAATCAAAATTAATTTCCACTTCAATTCAAAATACAAACGATGGAGATGAAATGAAGTGCAAATCCTTCATCGTCGTCGTCTCTGGTATTTATATATCGTCGGTTGGTTTCGCGTTTTCTGCATCCGAAGGGGTTGTTTTGACCTCCTATAACGAGTTTATATCCGATTCGAGTCTGCACAAAGCCGAGAGCTTTGTTTACACACAACATTCCATTGTTCGTCATGTAATCCAATAATTTTGGTATGTTAGGTAAACGCAGTCTGCATGTGCATGTGCATGTGCATGTGCAAAACAGAGCACTGCACTAGTCACTACACTAGCCGAAATAGGATTAAAGTTTGAAATTCATATTTGAAAATTTTGATGGGATGCTGGAGTGTACTGGGATATTTAAATAAATCCGAACCGGAGTTTTGGTAAGCAGTAAGAGTTTTGATTTGAAAATGAATTAGTTTTGTTCAGCAGAATAAAAAAAGTGATAAAATGCAGTTTAATAACACGAAAGAGAAAACCTGGCGCAAAACACCACTAGTGCGCCAAATCTTAACTTCTGTAAAACTCCTAAATTACCAGTCATAAAGTTAACTAGTGGGGTGTATAGCATCGTGCCTCAAGGCAAATTGCTGAAACTTCCCGTACCGTAAGTAAACATTCGAGGAATGAAAATAATCAATAATTGTTTTGAATAATTTCAAATAGATTATTATGAATATATAATACTGTAAATTTATAAGTGCTTATTAAATTGGGCGACGAGCGTTTTCTGTTACTAACATAAATTTGATTTTTTAGATAATTTAGAAACTTGTTGATAATTTAGAATTTTTTTCAAATTTTGAAATTTTTTTTAGAAGTTTAAAAAAAAATTTTTTTCTAATACTTTTGAAATTATTCGATATTTTTGAAAATTCCGAAATATTCTCAAACTTTTGTAAGAAATCGTTTTTTTTTAATTCTCAAAATTTAGTTTTTTTTAAATAATAGAAAACTTCTAAAATTAGATTTTTGAAACTTTGATTTTTCGAAAATTTTGAATTTTTTTGAAAATTTTCAAAATTACTATATTTTCTCAAGCAAAATGTTTTTTAAATTAATCTAATCGGATGATCCGTTCTCTTAAAAACTGCATAACCGTTTTTACACCCTTTGCGCTCTATACCTCCGAAACAGCAAAATTACCTTTTGCATAAACGCTCCACGATCGAGTACGAACCGAATGATTTTTTAATTATTATTATTCCATAGTTATTCCATATTGTCAAAAATGTCGAGAACATTCATTTGAATTATATGAATAAACTTCAAAATTAAAAATCTTGGTACGGAACCCAAAAAAATTTACACAAAATGTGTACACATTATTAAAATCTCTCTAAAATATCTGATAATTTGATGTGTCGATGCATAAGTCGAATAAACATTTTTGACAGTCAAATGACATTTTTTTTACTTTTTTCCCAAGATCTCCGAAACCGCTAGACCTGCCTTTATGACAATTTATCAATTTTTCGTCTTGTCAATACAAATAAAATGTTTTTTGAATTATTAAAATCGGATGTTCCGTTCTCTTAAAAACTGAGTTATCGTTTTTGGCACTTTTGGAACGGCTGGACCTGCCTTCGCCAAAAACTAATCAGCACGTCTCCTTATCAATACGAATCGAATGTTTTTTGAATTATCCAAAATTTGTATCCGCACACACACACACACACAACACACGCGCGCGCACACATCCATTTTTTCTAAGGTATGCCAAAATGTCCAGAAACCTTTGTAACGTAAAAATAAATATAAAAATTTTCATTTTCGTTTTTTTTGTGATTACTATAACTTACCCTACGGGAAGTTAATAATCGGATTAATTTTTAGATTAAGCATAAAAAATCGTTATCAAGTGGTCAACTATAAAAATTATCAATTTATTATTACTTACGTAAAACAGTGACGTTGGTGATCAGAACTCTGGGAGGATATGTTGAAACCTGGCACATGTACAATCCTGCATCTTCCAACTTGATTCCTTTGATGATCAATTTCCAGTTGTTGGGATATTGAAATTTCACCGAAAGTCGAAGATCGCCGGTGTAAGTTGTCTCGCCAACGGTGAGCAGGGCGACTTTGTCGTGCATTCTTCTTAACCACGTAACCTAGGAAAAAATTGAAATTATAATATTTTTTTATTTATAACAAATTGTAGTTTGATAAATAATTGTAGTAAAAATGTATATCATTACGAAACACAGAACGTACATGTGCTTGTTGTAGATTTTGAGCACCAGTATTTATTAAGGTCTCTATCGATCTAACTAATCGTGTTAAAAAAACAGAAGTATTGAGAATTTTGTATTACTAATATTCCAATCAGTTTTTATCTCTATATCAGATATGGGTAACTTTTTGGCTGTAACTTTTGCCTCTAAGCTTGTGGATATACATATCACACGTAAATCTCAGCCACCTCCTAAGTCATTCCATTTGTACCCTAAAGCCCTTGATGGATGAGTAGGTCTAATTATACCCGAGTCAAGGGCTTTCGTATCGCAAGAGACTAAATATATCTTTTTAATTTTGTCAGGATCGGGATCGGCCTAGATAATAATTGGATACTTGGTTAATCATTGTATAATTTGTACCACTTTAGCAAAACACTTGCTGTAAGTATTTTTATGAAGTTTCAACAAAAATAACTAGTTGGTATTGGTATTTTGCCTTGAGGTAAGTTACATAAACTTCCCTAAATGTGTAAATAATCGACTTAATCAATAAAAAATAA